AAGAGGATACTTCTTGACATATAAAAGCAAACAATTCATACAGAAGAGTTTAACATTGAAGTGTTTAGAATCGTAAACAAAAGAATACGAGTTCAACCAGAGACTCATAGTGAGTCTGAAGGTACAGGGTCCCCAAAGTGGAACCCTAATTCAATTTACCAAGAAAAACCCCCAAATTCTAGGGTTTCCCCATCGAATCAAACACAGAAACGAGAAGGCAAGTGAACAGACTCAAGGAGTCTCATGAGAATCAGGCAAATACAATGGCGGGCTTGAAACAATCAAAGAAAGGAAACCACTTTAAGGCATGAAGAACATGCTCAGAAAAACTTTGGCATTTAAGAAAACATGCTTAACAAGAACACGAACATAGTTCAGGAAAGCAAAACATCAAGAAACTCAGTAGTAAATATGCATGGTAGAAGAGTGAGAAAAACAGACTAATCATGTGAGCATACATATAAAAGTAGAAAGACAATACATGCGTAATAGAGGAGGAAAACATACGAGCATAATACAGACAAACATCTAAAAGAAAAGAACAACAAGAATCGAAAGACTTTCAGAAACCCTAATTTTGAAAAACCAACGATTTTGAAAAGGAAATTTGGGGAAAACACTCAAAACGTCAAATATAGCATAGGTTCAACACAGATCTAGGCAAATAAACAAAGAAAGAACCTCGAATAGTTTAGGGTTTCTGAGAAACCCTAGAAATGAGAAGGCGTGGAAAGGGTCTGGTCTCGAACAGATCTGAGCCATAGCTAGGCTCTTAAAGCTCGAACACACCGGGACATGGCCGGAGAAGCCATAGAACCACAGATCTACAACGGATCTAAACGGACTTTATCGAGGTCAGGCCTCAAAATCTCGAACTACCACGGTTTGGGGGAAAGGAAGGTAAGCACAGGATGTCCATGGCCGGAGAAGCCATGGACTCCGATGAGATTGCTCGGAGAAGACGGCGGAGGCGATTAGGGTTTCGAGTGCTAGGGAGCGTTTGAGAGGAGGAGAGAGTTTGGGGGCGACTGTCTGAGAGAAATGAGGGTTAGGGTTAGGTCGTTTGGAATTAAAAAGGAAAGAATTTAAAGGGATCCCGGGCGGGTTTAGTTTAATGGGTCAGGGGTTGGGTTAAATTGGAATTGGGCTGGCCCAATTGGGCATTAGGATTGGGGCCAATTGGGTTTAAGATAAAAATGAAATTGAGGCTATAATTGAAATGAAATGTGGCCAAAATTGAAATAGCCAGTTTTCCCTTGTTATTTTATAAAAATAGTGAAAATGATTTTAAAAGAAAATTGAAGATGCTGGACCAATTAATAATACATATGTATTAATTTAAAAATATTAGAACTAGTTTTACAATTACAAAACACTATTAATCGTAAAATAGGCTATAATTGCCTTTATATGCAATTAGCTTTAAAAATACCAAACAAATTTGTAAAAATATACAAAAAATTACCTTAATTATATTTGGTGTAAATATGAGAATAAAATAAGTTATTCACAAAAATGATAATTTTGGGAATAATTATTGGATTTTGTACTGTTAAAATAGACAATATAAGGAAAAATACCAGAACTCTTGGGAATGCTTATATATGCATGTATATGCTATTTTGAGGATATTTTGAGTACATAAAAATACTTAGGGAAAAATTGGGTATCAACAGCTGACATGGATCTTATGTGGCACCTACATGGAGGTAGAATAAAGTAGATAGGCTAGTAGGTATGCCTCCGATTTGGGCTATTTTGGTCTGATTTTTTTTTTCTTTTTGGGTCAAGAAATCTAGAATATGTATTATAAGAATTGGCCCCATTTTAAATAATATCGGACTTTACCAAGATGATCCAATTTACATTTAAAAGTCATTTTTCACTTTAAATTTTACTATGCTTCCATAATTCTATTAATTTATAATAAAATATATTATATTATATTATTGTAAAAATTAATATTTAGTATGTATGCATTGATATATAGAATAGGAAATAGAGAAATAAATTATAATTGGAAAATAATGCTTTTATTAATTATTACGATGCATTAGCATTAAATAATGATACGATGGTGATTAAATAACTAAAATAATAATAACGATATAATTACAATAAATAAATATGCTAAATTATATTAAGGTTAATAATAATATTTTATGTTTAAAAATCTTGAGGGTAGAAAAATATAGCAAATATTTTGGATAAAAATATATCTAGTAAATTATTAAGAATTAGGAAGTGTAGAGAATTTGATTAGGAAAAAGGAGGGTCAAAATTGATTGTCAACAGCTGCCCCTCTTTGACCGTGGACGATGAAAGAGTCTTCGGGCAAAGAAATTGACTTATTGACCAATTTTGTCGCGACTTGTAAATATGGATCAGAGTGTTGAAAGGATTATAAAAGGAAATTTGGAAGGCTTATGAAATGAAAAGAAATATTAAAGAGTTATGGCCGAACTCTGATTTCTGAATTTCCTACATACCTCGGGTTTCATGAGGATCATGTCGTATATAGTTCTAGATTTATGGTGCTAGGGAGTAGGACCTAACGATTGATGTGGATCCTAAAATGCTGCCCCAGTGTCGAATTATAAAAACACAGAGTGTCAAATACTGGGAGTCATGATTGAAAGAAAATGTTTCGTAATAAGTATTTTGATTAAGATTTTGGTAGTCAAGCCGAACGGAATCCGAGAGTAGACCTTTGACTTTTGTTGGCGAGTCTAGTTTCCTCCCCAACAAACTGCCCCAGTTTGCTGCTTAGATAGAGTTCTACGTTGTGCTATATTTCTTGCTAAGCTCAACAGACTAGGTAAAATTGTTAGTAAACGAGATATAAAAATGCCATAAGTCATAAAAATAATTTTATTAATATGACACCTCTAAGTCGCTAATTTATTATGAAATAAGCCAGGCATTTTAAAATTAATTCTTTGATCATGACTAATGAAATGAGGCTTTCAGCTAACGATTCATGTAAATGGTGCCTTTCAGCGATGACTTATGAAAATAAAACGTTCAACCGCATGATTGATAAAATGAGGCATTTAAGCCAATGATCAATGAAAATGAGGCATTTAAGACAAATATGATGATGCAATTAAGGCGTTTAAGCCAAATGACTGATGAGGCTTGGATAATGCAAAATATTTGCGGTGCATTTGCAAAGCAATCGTGTGATGCGCTTAAAAGCAATGCGGTGTATTTGAAAGCATTTGCATTGTGAATTTGCAAGCAATGATATAGTGCTTTTGAAAACATTCGTGCAGTGCATTTGCGGTATAGTGTAGTGCATTTGAAAGCAATTATGTTGTGTATTTTGCAAGCAATGGTGCATTCATAAGCAATGATGCAATGTATTTGAAAGCATTTGTGCGGTGCATTTGAAAACAACAGTACAATGCATTTGAAAGCATTTATGTTGTGCATTTTGCAAGCAATGGTGCATTCGAAAGCAGTGGTGCAATGCATTTGAAAGCATTTGTGCAGTGCATTTGAAAGCAATGATGCAGTGCATTTGCGGTGCATTTGAAAGCAATGGTGTGGTGCATTTGAAAGCCAATATGCAATATATTTAAAGCCATGTGCGATGTAGTTTGCATTTAAAAGTTAGTGGATAAAAACTAATGACAATCAATGTATTAAAAAAAATCTTATAAGGCTCCAGAATTATCATTAGTAAAATCTCAAAATTGGATTTTAAAGATCATCATCATTCAAGAGTGCAGTTTTTATACTCGTTCTTGATCCTTCTGCTTCCTCTATCTTGAAAATCTGCACTCAAAGAAAAATTATGAGTTTCGCGGGGAGGTTGATTCGTGTTGACTTTGATACTCTGGCCTTTGATAATCTTGCGCTTCCAATTTGTTTGGACTTGCAACCTCCACCCAATACAGAATCTTGGCGAATGAATAGTTAAGAAACTTTTGATGAAAAAAATCAAAATTTTAATAAATAAAATATGCATAAATATATTGTTTTATAAAAATAAAATTGTTGCCGAACTCTGCACTGTGACATGTTTGTGAAACAAAGTGAACGTCCTCATCTGAAATTGTATCATTCATCTTGCTTGACCATATTTCATCAATGACTGATGCCTTCTCATGACGATGCCTTTAAAAATTGCCCCAGTTTTCAACTTGGGGGAAATATGAATTTTAATTATGATGAGACCGAACCTACAGGGCTGCCTACGTATCCCCTCTTAAACGGGAATCAGGTCAAACGTAGTTCATTTACATTAAGAAGCATTACATAGAAAAGAAAGAGGTTGCTAGATATGCCTCTAGATGTAGTATCTCTTGACTGCATCTGCGTTGATGGGCTTGGTCCACACTTCTCCATCCATTTCTGCTAGAATCAGTGCTCCTCCAGTCAATACTCGATGCACCATGTATGGACCTTGCCAATTTGGTACAAACTTTCCTTTAGCTTCATTTTGGTATGGGAATATGCGCTTTAAAACCAATTGCCCCGGTTTGAACCGCCGTGGTTTCACTTTCTTGTTGAAGGCTCTGGCCATCCCGTTTTGATAGAGTTGACCATGGAAAAATGCATTCATTCTCTTCTCATCATCAAGAAACATTAGTTGTTCGTACTGATTCTTTCCCATTCTGCATTGCTCAGCTCGGCTTCCTGGATGACCCTCAAAGATGGTATTTCAACTTCCGCGGGTAATACAACTTGAGTTCCATAAACCAGAAGATAAGGCATTGCCCCAGTTGATGTTCTGACTGTAGTGCTATATCGAAGTAGAGCAAATGGTAGATTCTCGTGCCAATGCTTATAGTTATCAATCATCTTCACCAATATCGTCTTTATGTTCTTGTTGGCTGCTTCAACGGCTCCATTCATATAAGGTCGGTAGGGAGTGGAATTTTGGTGAGTAATCTTGAACTTATCACATATTTATTGCATCAAGTCACTATTAAGAACGGCTATATTATCCGTAATGATTGACTCAGGAATTCCAAATCGGCAAACGATGTTGTTACGGACAAAATCTGCTACCACCTTCTTTGTAACTGACTTGTAAGAAGAGGCTTCTATCCACTTTGTAAAATAATCAATAGCTACCAGGATAAATCTATGCCCATTCAATGCGGTATGCTCAATAGGGCCAATGACGTCCATGCCCCAAGCTGCAAATGGCCAAGAAAAACTCGTCACATTGAGTTCATTTGGTGGGACTCGAATCAAATCACTGTGAATTTGACACTGATGACATTTCTGTACAAAATGAATGCAATCTGTTTCCATGGTCATCCGAAAGTAACCTGCTCGCAGAATTTTCTTTACCAAAGTAAAACCATTCATGTGAGGCCCACATGTTGCTACATGTATCTCTTCAATCAGCTTGGTTGCTTCTCTGGCATCTACACACCTCAACAGTCCTAAATCTGGGGTCCTCCTATATAGGATTTCGCCGTTTAGGAAAAAGTGATTTGCCAATCACTTAAGCGTTCTTTTCTGGGTATTGGTTGCTCCTTCAGGGTAATCCCTTGTCTTGAGATACCTATTAATGTCATAATACCATGGTTCTCCGTCTGGCTCTTCATCCACATGGAAAGAATAAGCTGGTTGACCTTGCACATTCACCTTGATGGGGTCTATGTAGTTCTTGACTGGATGTTGAATCACGGAAGACAAAGTTGCTAAAGCATCTGCGAACTCATTTTGAACTCTTGGAACATGCTTGAAGTCCACCTTGATAAACTTCTTACACAACTCCTTCACACAATGTAAATATGATAGGATTTTTGTGTTTTTTGTATTCCATTCGCCTTGTACTTGATGAATCAGCAAGTCTGAATCACCTATAACCAATAACTCTTGGATGTTTATGTCAACGGCCATTTTGAGCCCAAGTATACAAGCCTCATATTCTGCCATGTTGTTGGTGCACGGAAATCGATGTTTCGCTGAGATTGGATAATGTTGTCCAGATTCTGAAACTAGTACTGCTCCAACTCCGACTCCTTTGAAGTTTGCGGCTCCGTCAAAGAACATTCTCCAACCAACATATGCTTCTGAAATGTCTTCTTGTCACGACCCCAGTTTGCCCTCCGTGAACATGTCGTGATGGCACTTAGTCCCTACGACTAGGTAAGCCTAACAATCCGGAAATAACATAAATTGCGGAAACAAGTAATTAACTTAAACAAACTAGAAGGGTAACTGTATATAAATGCCGCTCGGCATATACAACCCAATAATGCAGAAGTCTACAATATCATCCCAAAACTCGGAAACTCACGGGAACACAAGCTAACGGAAAGTAATACACGGCTCTAACTCCAGAATGTCTAAAGCAAAAGTACGAAAGGAAAAGCTAACTGCTAAAGCTAGAATAAGATAGAGACTCCTGGTCTGCGGACGCGGCAAATTTACCTCGAAGTCTCTGCTAGATCTCTCCGCCTCGAGAGTGATACGCCTGGGATGAAGTACCTGGATCTGCACATGAAAAACATGCGCAGAAGGGGCATGAGTACACCACATCGGTACTCAGTAAGTGCCAAGCCTAACCTCAGTTGGGTAGTGACGAGGAAGGTCAGGGCCCTACTGATAATAAACATAATAATAAGTCTTGCAACAGCATGAAATAAACAAAAATAATGAGTACAACTATGAAGTAAGACAGATTATACAAGGCAACAATTAACACTCAGAAAATAAGATAACACAGAGTAAAACAGCTCGATATCAATACCAACAACGAGGATCTCCCAGGATACCGTCCTGTAGTCCATTTCATCAACTGTCCAAGGAGCTCCCGGGATACCGTCCCGTAGTCCATCATATGGGTATATCCGAAGGATCTCCCGGGATACCGTCCCGTAGTCCAACTATTAATATGCAGGGAGGGGATCTATCGGGAATCTAACCCGCAGTCCCAAAATAAATATGCAGGGGGATCTATCGGGAATCGAACCCGCAGTCCCAAAGTAAATAGGCAAGGGGATCTATCGGGAATCTAACCCGCAGTCCCAAAGTAAATATACAGGGGGATCTATCAGGAATCGAACCCGCAGTCCCAAAGTAAACAAACAAACGGGGGGAGCTACCGGAATCCCACATCCGTAGTCCTAATGTAAATGCGCAACCACAACCAGAGGATATTCAGAAATGAAGCACAAAAATACAAGCAACAGATAGTTCTAGCCTAACATGCTTCACGTAGTACAATCAAGGCAACTTAATCAAATAGGCAATTAAAATCAACTAAGCATACTTTTCTAAACTAACACATGCTATAATTGCAAGTAGAATAAAGGAGATACGAAAGGAACTCAGTCTAAATATTTTAAGTAAAAACCGGGTTTTCAATACTTAGCTCAAGTACGTGCTCGTCACCTCACGTACAAGGCATTCAATTTCCAAATATCATACCCTAAGGGGAAAGGTCCCCCACACAAGGTTAGACAAGCCACTTACCTCGAACCGGCTCCCAAAATCAACTCGAAACCACACGTTTGCCACGAGTATCCGACTCCAAATGGCCCAAATCTATTCAATTCAGTTACATATCGTAAATAACATCTCAAGCAACTGATTCTACTATTTAATTTAAAGCTAAGACGCGAAATTAGGTAAAATGACCAAAATGCCCCTCAGGACAACGTCTCGAAATCAGATAAATTTTACATTTTCAGAACCCTCGTACTCTCACGAGTCTAGCCATAGAAAAATTCTCTTAAATCGGAGATCAAACACCCACTCAAAACTCAATAACTTGGTCTATGAAGTTTTACCCATTTTTTATTCAAAAATCCGAAATTAAGGAGGAATTCGTGATTAGATTAGTGGGTTTTAAGCATAAGAGAGTAGATAATCGTTACCCAATCGTTGCCCTTGAAAACCCCTCGAAATCTCTCCCAAATCCGAGCTCCCAAGCTTGAGTTTTGGTAAAAATTGCTAACCCTCGGATTTTGAAATGTTTATAACTACCCAAGTACTTGTTCAATGCGATCGCAGGAATTTGAATGCGATCGCGAAGGGTAAATTTTAAAGGCTCCAAAATTGGTCTATGCGAACGCAGCCTAAAGCCTGCAATCGCAGAAGAGAAAGAAATAGACGTACGCGATCGCGAACAGGGCCACGCGATCGCGAAGAGGAAAGTGCAAGGAATTACCAGATCCTAATTTCTACTATGCGAACGCAGGAGAACAATTGCGAACGCGAAGAAGGGAAAAGCTGACTTCCGCGATCGCGAACCGGATAATGCGATCGCGTAGAACAAAAATATCACCCTCTGAATTTACACTATGCGATCGCGTAGGGACAGCTGCGATCGCAGAGAAGGAAAGTCTGCAACAGACCTGAACAGAAATCTGCAACTTTTACAACTCAAAAATGCCCCGTTGGGCATCCGAAACACACCCGAGGCCCCCAGGACCTCAACCAAACCTACGGATATATCCCATAACATCCCTCAAACTTGTACCAATCCTTAAACCACCTAAAACAACGTCGGAAACTCGAATTAATCAAAGATTTAAGCCTAAGAACTTCAAATTCTATCAAAACACGCTTTCGATCAAAAACCTAACCAAACCTCGTTCGAATGACCTAAAATTTTACACACACATCCCAAATGACATGATGGAGCTACTGCAACTTCCGGAATTCTATTCCGACCCTCGGATCAAAATCTCACTATCGGACCGGAAACTTCAAAAATTCAAACTTCGGCATTTCAAGCCTAAATTAGCTACGGACCTCCAAAACACATTGCGAACACGCTCCCAACCCCGAAATCACCTAAAGGAGCTAACGGAACCATCAGATTTCCATTCCGAGGCTGTCTTCACACTGTTCCGACTATGGTCAGTTTTCCAACACTTAGGCTCTCATTTAGGGACTAAGTGTCCCAAAACTCTCCGAAACTCAAGATCGAACATCCCGGCAAATCAAAATAGCAGAAATAAACTAGGGGAAAGCAGTTAATAGGGGATCGGGGCGTAAATTCCAAAAACGACCGGCCGGGTCGTTGCATCCTCCCACACTTAAACATTCGTTCGTCCTCGAACGAGCACAAAGGCATACCTGAGGTAGTGAAAAGATGAGGGTAACTGCTGCGCATATCCTGCTCGGTCTCCCAGGTCGCCTCCTCGGCCGGCTGACCCCGCCACTGAACCTTTACTGAAGCAATGTTCTTTGACCTTAACTTTCTGACCTGCCTGTCCAATATAACCACTAGCTCCTCAACATAGGATAGATCTTTGTCCAACTGTACTGAACTGAGATCCAACACGTGCGACGGGTCACCTTGATACCTCCGGAGCATCGAAACATGAAATACCGGATGAACTCCTGCCAGGCTGGGAGGTAAGGCAAGCTCATAAGAAACCTCCCCAACACGCCTCAATATCTCAAAAGGGCCAATAAATCTCGAACTCAACTTCCCTTTCTTCACAAACCTCATAACGCCCTTCAATAGGCGAAACCCGAAGCAGAACCCGCTCTCCGACCATATATGAAACATCACGAACCTTCCTGTCCGCGTAGCTCTTCTGTCTGGACTGGGCTGTACGGAGTCTATCCTGAATCACCTTAACCTTCTCCAATGCATCCTGAACCAACTCTGTGCCCAATAGCCTGGCCTCACCCGGCTCGAACCAACCCACCGGAGATCTACACCTCCTACCATATAAAGCCTCATACGGCGCCATCTGAATGTTGGACTGATAACTGTTGTTGTAAGCAAACTCCGCCAATGGCAAGAACTGATCCCAAGACCCACCAAACTCGATCACACACGCACGAAGTGTTGATACCCAATATTTCCCTAGATATTGTTATACTCAAAATACTTTCAAAATAACATACATGTGCATACATAAGCACACCCAAGAGTTTTGGTACTTTTTCCAAAATTTAAATGATTTTTTAAACCAATTTATTGCCTATTTTAATACCACAAAATCCAATAATTATTCCCCAAATTATCATTTTGGTGAATAACTTATTTCATTCTTATATTTACACCAGAATATAATTAAGGTGATTTTTGTACATTTTTACAAATTTATTTGGTATTTTTAAAGCTAAATTGCGTGTAATTGCAATTATAGCCTATTTTACGGTTAATAGCATTTTATAACTACAAAAATTATTTCCAGTATTTTTAAATTAATATTTATATAGTATTTGTTGGCCCAGTATTTTTAATTTGCTTTTGAAATCATTATTATTATTTTTTATAAAATAAAAAGGGGAAAATTATCTATTTAACACTTAGCCTATTTCTATTTCAATAACAGCCCTTCCCCCTTTCAATTGTAGCCTTAATCTGGCCCAATTCCACCCCCAAATGAAACGACCCAATTCCTAAAATACCCAACCCACGACCCGTTCTCAAGCCCGCCCGGTTTTCTTTTAAAATCCAAGCCGTTGATCATTTTGATCAACGGCTGATATCCTTCCTTTCCTTTTTTAATCACCTAACCCCTCTAACCCTACCTCATTTTCATAGAGACGCCGCCTCTAACTCCCTTCGTCTCCCGCAAACCCTCTCTAGCCTCTTCGAAATCCTAATCACCTCCCACCTTATCTCACCTCATTTCCACCGGAATCCATGGCATCTCCTGCCATAGATGGCCTGTACTCACCCTCTCTCACCCCTAAGCCTGAGCTACTTGAAGTTTGGAAGCTTGACCTCGATGGTCCTCTCTCAGATTTGTCTCAGATCTGTAGATCTAGGGTTCTCCGGCCACGCTCCGGCATGTTCAAGCACTGGAAGCTTGCTTCCTGACCGTTTCAACTCAGGATCTGATCTTGTTCTTCCAAGCCATTCTCGTTTCTAGGGTTTCTCTGAAACCCTAATTCATTCGAGGTTCTTTCACCATTATTTGTTTAGATCTGTACTATGTCTATGCTTTTCTTGACATTTTGAGTGTTTTCCCCAAAAGTTCTTGTCAAAATCGATTCTCTCCGATTTTTAGGGTTTCCGCAAGGATTTTTGAAAAATCTTTCTGATCCTTTTCTTCTTTGCTTTATGTGTGTTTGTT